CCCTATCTTGTGGGAGGCTGCCAGCGGGTAGTTGCTCATCATACTCCCTTTTTCCAGTTTGGCAAAGAACTTTTAACATTTTCTCCCCTTGGGTACAAACAAACACACTATAAAACAGCCAGCTGGAGTCTAGAGTTGGCTTTTGAGCAACACGAGCTCCACTGCTCATGTCACCTTCCATCTGACTCCTTTGCTTCGATGTCATCCATCCTATGGACAAAGATATACTGATCTCGCTAATACTGCTTGTGTAAGTAACAAACTGCAAGTAAGTACTTCCTCTAAGTAATAAACTTTTGGGGTCATTTTTTCTTTATTGTATGAGTCTATGAGAGCCTGGCAAGTCCATCAAGTAGCTGCCACTGCATTGCTGCTTATGGATTGTTTGAAGTCTTGCCAGAAAATTCCTTGACAGAAGGAGAATCATGTCTATTTTGTTCAACAATGTATCTCTAGTATCTAACTCTCAGCATATGGTGTATAGTAAGTGCTTCATACATATTTGTTGAATTTAATAAATTATAGAAAACAATAATACATATGTGCTCAAAGATATATATCTAGCCAATTACTTTGGGAGTCTTTAGGGGAAGGATGGGGAATATAGATAGAGGATGGAAGGGACCATAAAATGAAATAAAGTAAAAATAACTTAAGGGCCTTCTACTTATGAGGTTTAATGGAAAACATGTATGTTACCTAAAAACAAGAAGCCCTCTAGCCTTATTACTATCCTTCCCTTAAATTACATGAGTATTTGGTAACATGCACATCTGACCTTTGTTTCTCAATTGTAATATAAGGAGCAGAGACTAAATCAGCATCTTTCAAATTGTGTTTCAAAGAACCCCAGCCATTCACCTAAGGGCTGCCTCATGGCAGGAATGGGGATTGTACCTTTTTAATCAAGGCAGTGGTACTTTTATAAAGGATCTTCACAAAGTTCATAGAAATGTACATTATGGGAAAAAACTGTGCATGGATTTCCATTTTTTTGCACCAAAATAAACTTTCCTTCTGATTCCATCTTTCCATAAATATTCTGAAGCCCCTTTGTGTTTTATATGTTAGACTTTCTCATAGACACATTTTAAAGGTTTGGCAGCTAAAGGAAAACAACTCAGCAGACTCATAGAATGGCAGATGTCCTAAATAGCACTCTGGCCTCAGAATCAGCCCTAAAGGCATTCGGATCTGGCTGAAAAGCCCATGAGAGTATTTCAGGCATGCAAGCCATGACATTCTGGCCAAGGACT